AAAAAAAAAAAAAAAAAAAAAAAAAATCCCAAACCCTACAATGACAAGTCCCAAGAAGTCAGAGCGGGTATTTAAAACTTCTGGTGTAAGGGATCAGAATACCTCATCAGCAGTCATTTTAACTGCACCCAAGTCCCTTGGCAGCTTTGAATATCTCAGCCAAAAAACACTAAGACTAGTGATGAGGTCCACGAGTAATATCCACCATCATTTAGGTAGGGATCAGCCTCCCTTTATAATCAGCCGCCATTGAAGGACAACCATCTTTTAAAAGTAACACTGTTTCACAAAAAAAACTATGACAGAACAGAAGCAAGTTTGCCATAACCAACAGAAAGGAGGAGAGAAACGTATATAATCTAGGCCCTCAACAAGCGTAAATCAACAAAGTCAACAGAGTAGAGGTGCACGTACATCTAGAGCCGTTTCAAAAGGACAGCAGCTGTCACGTTCTAATTGTTACGTGCAGACAAGCCAGTATGGTATAAACATAGCAAAACTGCTCCAACTTTAAGACTGCATGAAGCTGCATCCTGGCTAGGACAAAAGACAAAATACGTCAGCCAGGGCATTGGTATAACATATTGATGTAACAGCACTGACTTACACAAAATGATACAACTCCCTTTTAATAAAGGGCATCAATGGAGGCCAAACTTTTGAGCAGGCATGGCACAAATTAGCCCCATACTCTGCCCAGGTGCCACTCTGATTCCCTTCCCCTGCCCAATCTGTTGCTCTTTTTGCTCTGTCCCCCCTGTGATCTGCTGCTCTACTTCCAGCTTCCTTCCTCGTGCTCCCTGCCCAATCTGCTATTTTGCTCCCCAGGGCTGGACACAGGCGTGGGCAAACTGGGTGGCCACCCAGGGCCCGGACAAAAAGGGGGCCCAAAAATGGTATTTTTTAAATTATCATCATCATCATCATCATCTCTGGTGATGAGGATCCCCGGTACTAAAAGTTTGCCCGGGGCCACCAGGAGTCTAGGTACGCTGCTGCTCCCTCCCAGATCTGCCGCATGCCACGCACACGGGCTGCCCATGCCACACGTTGGCCACCCCTATGCTATGTATTGAGTTCTTGTGCCTCTCTTTCATGACTTGTTCAAATCACATCATCTCTACAATCATGACAGAAGAATCGGTTTCTATGGCCTCGAAGAGGTAAGTAAGTGCTACCTGCTGCAATGGCCCAGCTTCTCTACCACCAACACTTGCGTTGTAATGACAAGGACAATCTAGTTTGCAGCACCATCATATGTTCTTATCATAGCCCGTAATAAAAATACAGAATTAAGACATGGCATAAATGACTGCCAGCCTCATTGAGGTGGTAGAAGCTTTAATAGCCTCACACCAAGACCAAGGCAAACTTGATACATGGACAACACAGGGCAAACAAACCATCTTTGTTTCCTAGCCTTACTCTGCACAAACATAGCAGCACTCTTGCTGTAATTATATAAATAAATCCTAATGGTATTTTTATATGGAAACTGGTTTCTGCAGCAGCACATCAAAAACCATAAATAAGTTTCTCTTTTTCATTAAGCAGGTCTATCATTTCTCAGCACTTAACAATGAATGCATTTCACTCAGATATATTACTCAGTACTGCTAAGGCATGAATCTTACCTACGCAGCAAAAGGAGTGTAACGGATGCCAACTTCAGTGCCAGTTTGGGTACCGAAATGCTGGCCAGTTGGAACAGAGAGGCTGTTCCGGAAGTTTGCATTCTTGCTGGCTCCCAATAACACAATGAAGCATTTAGATAGAAGTCGATTGGTATTCCTCCTCTGTAATCGCACCCTCAATGTAAAAAGCAATTATACTGATTTTTTTTTTAATTCCACTCAACCAGACGGGTCTAAACCAAAACCCCTGAATATGAACAATGAAAAATTGGGGCTAGTTTGACACCCAAACCCAGAGCTCCTTTCCACACATTGGGTCAGAGATTTAGAAGCGACCCGATGCAATTTCTCTACCTGCCTGCACAAGCTGAAGGCATACTGCTGGTGAGCACTAGCAGTCTGAAGTAATCCAACTGGGCAAACAAACTGGGAATCTGCATATGGAAGTTAATCTGGCTTTTCTACCCACAACTGCACATCAAAGCCTTTAAGGACTGCACAGTTTCAATAAGCTTTTCTAGAACCAACACTACAGAGTGCCAGTGTCTACAAATGAATGGAGCTGAGGATACGCAGCCAGCCAGCTCTCAGAAAGCATTCGGTGTCGTCTTGATGGTTTGGGCCTCAGAAGAGCCATCCCGACACTCGAGATAGATCCCTCCCTGGAGAGACACGAAGAGAAACATCTGGACTACAATAACCAGATTGTAGGGGAACTACAAAAAAGGACAATATTTGGAAACTTCCATGCACGGCTTCTTCTGCATGTACCATCAGAGCAAAATTCACTGATCACAGTAAGAGCTGTGGAAGGCAACACATTAAAAAGAGCCCAGCAGCCTGTGAGCATATCCTACAAGCGAGAGAGGGGCTGCAGGGCTTGCTATACTCTGTGTGCAAGACAGCACAAGGAGGGTACTCCATTCTCAATCCCCACTGAGAGAGCCCTTCTACAAGGACAATTTTTCCAGCTTTGTGGATCTAACTTCCCACCTACTCTGTCCTTAGGCAAGTTTTAAGCAGTAGAGCCGCATCTGGAAAATGGTAGGAGAACAAGGTTAAAGTATCTGGGTAGACCCCACATTACACAGCATGTCAGGGGATGTTCTTGCCTGAATCTGCAGGACCAGGCCGTCCCTCATTTGTATTCACTCTGCTATTCTGTGGTTTTTATGTTGTTTTCAGAGCTGAAACTCTGACCTTTCACTCTTTGCCTGCAATAAAGAGAAAGAGTGAGTCTATCTTAATGAGCCCAGGGAACACAATTAACAGCTTAAAGCCACAGCCTTGGGGAAAACAGAAGTGCATTTTCCAGCCAGGAGCTCCTGAATGGGATAGGATCTTATGGGGAAAGAATTGAGCGTGTCATCGTATGACAAAGCCATGGGGTCCAGTGGCCAACGTAGTCAGGGGCCGAGGCCATGCCACTGCCTGGTTCTCTCTGGGGACATGGATATGACAGCAATTCCTGCATTGCTGGGAAGCCAGCTCCTCCCTGGCCCCTGCTCCGCTGAGACGACAGCCATCCTGCCCCACCTCATGCTTTGCATGGATCTGTACTTTACATTGCAATATTACCGCTAGGAAAATAGGAACCTGCACACTGGTCTGCCTTGTATACAGTGGACTGTGCAATAAGAACCAGAGTCCTGTCCTACACGAAGGAGTCTGCACAGCTGCTAATGCAGCGAAGCACTCGGCACCTCCTAAGCTGGTCAGTCCCCAAGGCTGTTCTCTGTGCTAAAGAAACGAAGCAGCAGCTGCAGCCTGCCTTACTGGACTCCAGGATACAATAGTGAGGAAGGATGATAAAGGTTTGGAGGAGGAGGATCTTCCCTATCGCATGCAAGTGGTGACTGGAGCCAGGAGGGCAGGTTCTCATACACCCAAGTGATCGTGTTCGAAGTCCCCTCATAACAGCACATAAGTCCACCTTCTTCTGCAGCTAACAGTAGCCCCCAAGTACAGACGGGTAATAGACACAACTGAGATTTTCCTAATATACAAACTTTGGAGTATTCAAAAATCAAATCACGCCTTTTTCTCTACTTCAGCTTGGTTCTGCCTTACAAGGTTTTCTTCTCACATGAAAGAAAAAAAATGTGGAAACACAGACATTAGATTTAGCCCCACCACCGCCCTATGAGAGAGGAGATGGCGATCCCAAGTAATGAGATGGTAGGGAAACCAGGTCATGATCCATGAAGTCCTAGCCCTGTTCTAAAACCATTTTAAAAGGTCACTCCATTGAAATAACAGTGCTACAGCTGCCTTTCATGTAGGCTGAGCAAGCCAGGACAAAGAATCAAATATAGTACCAGAAGCACATAAAGCAAAGGCCCCTTACACTTTTCCCACTTCCCATTGAGCTAAAAGGTCATTGTTATACTTCAAGGTACCTGCATTAATCTGCCTAACTGGGTCCAAAGGAAAAATCAACGAAAAATACAGATCGTTGTGCATCACATGAGCATATCTTGAACAATTCGAACTTCTGTGTTCCAGGCAAAACAAACGTCTTTTCCAAATATCCATGGTTATTTCAGTGCAGTCTCTCAGTGCTGCTGCTGGTTAGAGAGATTCCTCACACCCGGGAATGCTCAGTAATTGAGCACCGTCTTCAGCCAAGCCCTTTGGCGTGTGAGCAATTGCACTGGACTTAATCCACATTTTGCCTTCTGTAGCCAACACCTTTGATGAGAGTCCACATCTCATTGCAGACATGTGCTTTTGGCAAAATTCCTGTTATTAAGAGCATTAAGTGACCTTGCACATTAGCACTTGCTGACGGTAAGGTTTTTCTTCTTTTCACAGCTCTCCCTTTGGGCACAGAGTGGACTCCTCTTAAATTTCAATACAAACTCCGGCTGCAAAAAATAA